TTATTCTCGTTTATAAAAATGTACGCGTGTGTCTATTTATAAAAATATATGAAACTTATACTCTTTTATAAATATAATTGTATCAATACTTGAATTTTTCCGGTTTATAAAAATATTTATAATTTATTCATGTTTATAAAAATTATTATAATTTATTTTTAGTTTGTAAAATTAATTATATTAATATGTAGACTTTTTCTCGTTTATAAGTGTCTTTAACCCGTGTGACAATTTATAAAAACATTTTAACTTATTCATATTTAAAAAAATTACATCAATATTTGAATTTTGTTCGTTTATAAAAATATTTGTAAGTTATTTAAGTTTATAAAAATAATTGTAAAAATAAATATTTACCATATCATCTTAAATTTATTTATTCAACAGTGATATATATGTGTCTCTTAATTAATTACATTTATAAATAAATATCGTGTATTAGTGATATATATTAAATTTATTATCTTAATGTCTAACTAATTAAAATGAATTTATTATTGTCAATCAAAAATTATAATATTAAATAATAATATAATATTATTATTATATACCGGAAAAAGAATAAATTAAATCTAAGAATATCGGAAATTTTATTATAATATTAAATAATAATTTAACATTTATTATTACAATGAATCATATATAACATTTCAAAATTATGTATTTATTTCTTATGTTTTATTATATTCGATTTATAATAAATATTTTTCAGTTTATTGCGAATTTTCAATAATTAAATATTAATGATATTATATAAAATTAATTTCATGAAATAAATTTATTTAATAAAGTGTTATATAAATATTTAATACATTATATTATACCATTAATTTATATAAAATGATATTAACTTATTCCTGTTTATAAAATTATTGTAACTTTTTTCCGATTTATAAGCATGTTGAATTCGTGTGTCAATTATTAAAATATATGTAATTTATTATTATTGATATAAATAATTTTATAAATAGTTTAATTTATTACATTTATAAAATTATTTGTAATTTATTCACCTTTATAAAATTAATTATAAATTATTTAATTTATTAAAATGATTGTATCAATAATTTTTTATTTTATCATAAACTTTTATGATTATCATTTATCATTAAATTTTCATGATTATCATTTAATATTTTTTTATCATGATTACAATTATAAAGTTAATTTGAAAAGATTATGATATATTTTAGTTATTTCATAAACTTAAAAAAATTATCAAATCTCAATTGATTTTGTTTTGTTTTATTAACCTTTTTATAGAAATTGAAATAATTTATTTTAGGTCAAATAAGGATCTAAATAATTACAAAATAATATTTATTCTTACATTTATAGAATGATAAATTAAATATTTAAGATAAACATTAGAGTTCTTATTTACTTTATCTTTTATATATTTATAATATACTTTTTTTTAATTTTATTAACAATATATTTATAGTTAACAATACATCCTTTAAACTACTTTATTTTTTTTCAAGAATATAAATGTAACCTTTCAAAAAATATACACAAATATATTTAGAAGTCGGTAGAAAATTTTATTGGTTAAATTATAATTCCATTCAAAATTTATTGATCATAAATTTTTGAAATCAAATCATGCATAAAAATAAAATGTATTAATGTGACCATTCAAAATATTTTCTATATATAATAAAAATAAATAATATTAATACCTCCATTCAAAAGATATATTTGTAAAGTTTTGATTTAATTTTTTTCATATCTTTATATATTCTAATGTATATAATATTCCTACAATATGAAACAGTATCAAACCTATAATATTAAAAGATAATTCAAATTTTATTGATCATAATATTTTATGGAATCAAATCATATATAAAAATTAAATATATTTATGTCACCATTCAAAATAATTTCCATATAAGTATAATAAAAATAAATGATAATAATGTCTCCATTCAAAAGATATATTGGTAAAGTATCGAATTAAATGGTACTCCAATATTTGATTAAAAAATTGTAATATTTGTTTTTAATATTGTATAAAAATATATTAATTAGTCGTATTTTAAAAAAATAAATCGTAAATATTTTATTAAAAATTGTAATATTTGTTTCTAAAATTATAGCAATTAAAAATAAAAAAATATCAATACAAAATAAAAATTTTATTCAAATTTCACGACAAATGAGAATTATAATTTCGATTCAAAATAAATTAGAATTTTGAAGGCACATCAACACCAACTTGAAGGTTATTATCTTCTCTTTAGGAGAAGAGAAGGAGAAGAGAAATTCGGCAATGCTATATTCAAAAGAACTCAGAATTTGGTGTAAAATAAATTCCATTAAAACATAGGCCAACATAATTTGCAGTAGAAAAATATATTATGCCAAAACCAATGTTGATATGACAAACAAAATATGAAAGCAATAATAATATACATATACATAATTTGAATCAAATCTGGTTAAAAGCATTCTTCTATAGAACCAGAAAATGATCGCATATCAACGTTGGTTTTATCATCTTATAGATCTTAGATAATTATTGTCTTGTTTATGGTTCTTCTGAAATTGGTAGTGATCTTCAGCAACACCCGCTACTCTTGAACCCTTAAAAACATATTACTTTAGAACTTCGGGTGAATAAGAGTCTCATCCCTTTGACTATCCTCATGTTCATCAAAATCTCGTTCCTCTTCCAAAAACAGTTCCTCCAAACATTGCAATGAGACATTTGCATTTGCTATCTGTCAGAAAATACAATTAGTATATAATCAGTACCTGCCAATGAAAGCCATTGATATTCCTTGTGGAAGCATAAAATTCAATGGTTTCAATTTCCTAATCTTCAATTAGAATTTCAAAACCCAGTGTACGTAGCAGCTATAATATGAGTGTTTTAATTTAAATTTCAAATTGAATGACCTTTTAATTTAAATTGGATGAGGGTTTTGGGAAGTGGTATGTAGCACATAATTAGATGTGATTATAACGTGTAAATATAAACAAAATGGCATAATTGTTGTTAGTTAGAAATAATTAAAAAAAAAAAGTAAAAAGTGGCCGAAAAAATCATAGTGTGACACATCAGCCATATTTATTGTCAAATCAATATGATGTAAGTATTTCAGAAAGTTACAAATATACCCTTAGATTAAGACTAAATTGAAATTTACTAATTAGGGTATTATGGTAAGTTAATGATACTTTACTTTTAATAAATTGATAAAAGATAATAGATAATAGATAAATAGTGTATTTTTGAAAGAGAATGTAAGGATAATAAAAAGGGGAGATTTGGGCTTGTTGTGCAAGGTTGAGTATGGAAGTAACAAGCATGTCCCAAGCTGTACAAGTCCACGCTCAATTCCTCAAATCCCAAACGCAAAACCATCAAAACCTCTCCAACCTCTTCACCTTCGCAGCTCTCTCCCCCGCCGGAAACCTCAACTACGCTCGTCTCATCCTCAACTCAAACCCATCTCTCAACTCTTACTACTACAACACCATCATTCGCGCTTATTCTCATACCTCCAACCCCACCCATCATTTCCAAGCACTTTCCCTCTTCCTCTTCATGCTCCAATCACACACCAATCACCACAACGTGCCTTCACCCGATAAATTCAGTTTTCCGTTTGTTTTAAAATGCTGTGCGCGCTTGAAACTTGTTCCGCAAGGTAAACAGCTTCATGGGTTGATTACTAAGATGGGTTTTGGTTCTGATTTGTATATTCTAAACGCGCTTGTTCATATGTACTCTGAGGTTGGTGAACTGGGTGTTGCACGTGAGGTGTTTGATAGAATGTTTCATAGAAATGTGGTTTCTTGGACGACTATGATTGATGGTTTTGTTAATCATCATCTTGCTATTGAGGGAATTCAGTTGTTTGAGAGAATGTTGGAAGGTGGGGTTGAAGTCAATGATGCCGCGGCGATTTCTGTTTTGAGAGGTTGTGCGGATTCGGGAGCGTTGAGTGTGGGGAGGAAAGTGCATGGGATTGTGAAGGAGAAGGGGATTGATTTGAAGGGTAATGTTTGTACTGCGCTTATTGATATGTATTCCAAATGTGGGTGTTTAGAGAGTGCAAGGAAGGTGTTTGATGAGGTTGTGGATAGAGATGTTTTTGTTTGGACTGCGATGATTTCTGGTCTTGCTTGCCACGGGATGTGCAAAGAGGCTATTGATATGTTTGTTGAAATGGAAATGTGTAATGTAGAACCTGATGAGAGGACAGTTACAGTTGTTTTATCGGCGTGTAGGAATGCAGGCTTGGTTCGTGAAGGTCGCATGTTTTTCAGTGATGTTCAGAAGCGTTACGGTATGAAACCCACAATTCAACATTTTGGTTGCATGGTGGACCTTCTTGCAAGAGGAGGGTGTTTGAAGGAAGCTGAAGATTTTATTAACGCAATGCCAATAAAACCTGATGCAGTCCTTTGGAGGACCTTGATATGGGCCTGCAAAGTTCATGCAGATGCTGAAAGAGCCGAGCGTTTGATGAAACGCCTTGAGCTGCAAGGTATGAGTGAACATGATAGTGGAAGTTACATACTTGCTAGTAATGTTTATGCGTCCATGGGGAAATGGTGTGACAAGGCAGAGATGAGAGAGTTGATGAATAAAAAGGGACTGGTAAAGCCACCAGGGTCTAGTAGGATTGAAATTGACGGTGTTCTACATGAATTTGTGATGGGGGATTACAATCACCATGAAGCAGAGGAAATATTTGTTGAGTTGGATCAGATGGTAGATAAGCTGCGAAAACAAGGGTATAAACCTAAAGTATCCGAGGTAATGCTTGAGATGGATGATGAGGAGAAGGCCATTCAGTTGCTTCACCATAGTGAGAAGCTAGCTCTTGTTTATGGACTGATCAGGACATGTCCTGGGTCCAAAATCAGGATTGTTAAGAACCTAAGGTCTTGCGAGGACTGTCACGAATTCATGAAACTGATCTCTAAGGTATACCAAAGAGACATCATAGTGAGAGACAGAATACGATTCCATCATTTCAAAAATGGAGCTTGTTCTTGTAAGGATTATTGGTAGCACAAAAGTTGACCTTGGATTAATTGTTGTAACATGTAAAAGGAAAACTTGTAGAGAAATACCCATGTACTATGAGCTGCTAGCTTTGATACCTAATTTGGCTGTCAAGACAAATTGCAAATTCCAAGGAATTTTTTCTATTTGCATGGACATGATTTCAGATTTTAAACGTAAATCGTGAGTGTTGGCCCTTTTTTGATAAATACCAATAGAAGGGATATAGTTCTATCCATAATCCATGACAAATGTGCATATTCAGAGTACTGCTACATAATTCAGTTTCTCTTTGATTAAGATATGGTCGTCATATAGGACACATAGAGAGGGAAAACCAAACTCATTCTTGGAAGTTCTTTGGTCAGATACTGTTGGCGATCTGCAGGTACGTTGCAACGGCATATACATGTTTTATTCACAAAGTACTTACCTTCATGTATGTAATTACATTCTGTTCTTTAATTAAAGATATTTCTACTTGATGATTTATTAAGTTGTTTCATTGAATTTACATTTTTATTAGATTACGTGTTATCAAGTTATTAAGAACTTCTACTATCATATTACTATTCTGTTGAAAAATGATATTTGAAAGTTTGATTTTTGTTAAGACTTGCATACACAAAATTAGATAATAATGTCAAAAACTTTACATTAAGAATGAATCAAAGTTATACTTTTTGATGATTATTGTATTCTTTTCCCTGAGTCTTATTCGTATGGAGATAAGAATATGAAGCTTTGTGCTCAACAAAATTAGGTTGAGTGATGTATAATACACTGTTTAGGTTTCCGATGTCACAATAAGTTTGAACTTAGTGTAGCTTACAAACTATCAAAATCTCTTTACAACTTGTCCCTATCTTTTCTTCGGCATTCACGATTGTATTTTTGATTAAAAAACCAGAACTGTTAGAAGATAATCCTTGTAATTCCAGAGCTAATGCTTCTCAAATAAGAGATGAATCTCTCTATGCCCAACCAAAAGGTTTCTAACAGTAAAAGATGCTTGAATGATCTCCCTATTTCCTGTTAGGAACTAAAATTCGTATGTGAAAGTATAAGGGAATTGATAGAAGGAATATTTCGTATATTGAAAGAAATAACTTGGCTCATATATAGCCTTACAGATGAGAAACTGAAACTAAAAAAAAACTACCCATGTTCCCACTACTAGCACTAAACTACCCATGTTTTCACCCACTACTAGCACTTCCTAATAACATGGTAGACTAATTCAAAAGGAAATAACTACTCCTAAAAACAGGGAAACCATAAAACTGACTAACAAATCCTCCCTTAAACTGAATGTTATATGCAATCAGTTGATATCACTCTCTGAACAAACTCCTAGAGATCTGTGTAGCTTCAGGAAAACATCCATCTTGAGTGGTTTCGTCATGATATCTGCCAATTGTTCTTGTGTATTACAGTGTATCAGCTCTACAGTTCAAGCCTTTGTCAAATCCCGAAGGAAATGGAAACGAACATCAATATGCTTACAACGACCATGCATTATTGGATTCTTCGAAAGTTTAATAGCAGAACTACTATCACAACGAATCACAGTGGCTTTGCTTTGATTTTTACACAGTTTTTTCCCAACACTCTTTTCAGCCAAATGGCTTGACATGCACATGAAGCTGCACCTATAAACTCTGCTTCTGTGGTTGATAGACTCACAATTGGTTGTTTCCTCGATGACCAAGAAACAGCACCTGAGCTCAACAAGAAAATATAACCTGAAGTACTCTTCCTATCATCCAAGTCCCCTGCATAATCGTTGTCAGAGTAAGCGACAAGCTCGCTGTTTCCGTCCTTCTGGTAGAAGATTCCAAACTCAGTTGTTCCTCTTAAGTATCTCAGCACCCTTTTGGCCACTTGTAAATGCAGTTCAGTAGCATTCTCCATATACCTGCTAATTAGATTCACCACAAACAACATATCGGGTCGAGTAGATGTCAGATACATAAAACTTCCTATAATTTGTCTATAGTAGGTCTTATCAACCTTCACACCAGATTCATCTTTTGTGAGTTTAACACCTGGAACAATTGGATTATGCACTGAATTGCTTCTATCCAATCCAAACCTTTGCAGCATCTCTAATGCATACTTCTTTTGACATAAGGAAATGCCATTTGATCGTTGCATCACTTCAAGACCAAGAAAGTATCTCATTTTATCAAGATCTGTCATGTCGAATTCTCGCTTCATAGAGCTTTTAAATTTTGTCTTGTAAACCCACTTCACTCCAACTTTCTTTGCTCCTTTAGGTAAACCCATCAATTCCCATGTGCCATTTCTTTCAATTGCCTCCATCACCATCACCAGCTGCAAACATGGCCAAATTAACATCGACATTTCCTTCTGAAAGACCTTCTCCAGTTTCATAGTCTTCCATCCAAAGTGGTGGCCTTCTACACCTTTGTTGATTGGGATTAGAAGGGTTCTCTTATACTGTAGAATCAAATGAGACATTTTCTTCTTCTTCTGTATCAGTATTATGATCAGATTCATGCCCGACTTCATTTTCTTCTTTCACATTAACTTCCACATCCTTATCACCCCAATCTAAGTCACATGAGATGGCTTCTTCATACTTCTTATCCCAATCCCAGCCCTAATCTTCTTCAAAAACAACATCCCGACTCGTTATGATCTTTTGTGAAAATGGATCATAAAGCCTGTATGCTTTTGATACTTCACTGACCCCTAACAAAACACAACACAAACTTTTATCATCTAGCTTAGTTCTTTTAGCATCAGGTACGTAAACATAAGAAATACATCCAAAAACTCTAAAATACTTAACTGAAGGCTTGACCCCGCTCCAAGCTTCTTCTAGTGTCTTATTCCTCACTACTAACATCGGACTCCGATTCAAGACATGCACAGACCAGTTTACCGCTTCAGGCCAGAAGATTTTGGGCATTTTCTTCTCGGATAGCATGCTCCGAGCCATGTTCATAATGGTTCTATTCTTTCGTTCTGCAACCCTGTTCTGTTGTGGCATATATGCAGCTGTTAGTTGCCTTCGTATACCATTTTCACAACAAAAATTGGTGAATTCGAATGATGTAAACTCTCCCCCACGGTGAGTGCGCAAGCCTCTGATAAACGAATTTGCTTCCTTTTCAACATGGATCTTAAAATTTTTGAAAACAGAAAATGCTTCTGATTTTTCTGTTAAGAAATAAATCCATGTTTTTCTACTGAAATCATCAATAAAAGTGATCAGATACCTCTTTTTGCTGTTAGAGATAGGTTTGATTGGTCCACAAAATCAGCATGTATTAGTTGCAGAATTTGTGTTACCCTCCAAGCGCTCTTTTTTGGGAATGAATCTCTTGGCTGCTTCTCTACCAAACAGTCCTTGCACAGTTTGGTGACTTCAATTTTGGTAAGCCATTTACCATACTCTTCTGCTGTAGCGTATTTAAACCCTTAAAACTCGAGTGTCCATATCTGCAGTGCCAAAGATGCATTAAATCTTCTGTAACAGTGTGAAAGCAAGTGGGTTTTGCAGGTTGTGGTATGGCATGCAACATGAACATTCGATTTGAAGATATTATGGTTTCCATTATCAAACCACTTTCAGGGTGGAAGACTTTGCATTTTCCATGTTGAAACAAAATACTAATCCCCTTCTTTTGCAATTGCCCAATACTTAGCAAGTTATTCCGTAATTCTGGCACAAGAAAGACTCCAGTAACAGTATGTGTTACGCCATTTATGTTTAATCTTATGTTACCTGTTCCTGTTACAGCCATAGTGGAATTATTGTCCAACTTACAAAATCTTTGTAACTCTCGTCAAGATCTGAGAAGTATTCCTTCTTTCCGCACATGTGATTGCTACATCCAGAGTCAAGAAACCAAACAGCTTCTTCATTGGCCTTCTTCATTGGCCTTCCTTCCTTTGATTCGAACATTCACATCTAAAATGTCCGAGTTGATGACAATTAAAGCACTCCACTGTGGATTTGTCAAATCTTTGTCTGCCTTTGCCTCGTCCTCGTCGTCCAAAAACTCCACGACCTCGACCCCTTTCTACATATTGAGCATATTGATTATCTTGATATCCATGAGTAATCTGCAAAGCATGTTCTTCTTCAACATGAGAACACATGCGTTGTTCATGAACAAGTAGGCTGCTTTGCAATTCATCAATAGTCAAAGTGTCTGTATCCTTAGATTCCTCAATGGAACACACGACATAATTGAACTTGGGAATCATGGATCTCAAAAATTTTTCAACTACTGCAACATCTCCCTTGTTTTCACCATTAGCTTTCGTCTTGTTTGCTATGGTAAGTGTCCGAGCAAAATAATCATTCACAGATTCTCTTTCCTTCATATGGAGAGTTTCAAACTCTTTTCTTAGAGCTTGCAACTGTGCGCGCTTGACTCGTGTTGAACCTTCATACTTTTGCTTCAAGGAATCTCATATGTTATTTGCTGTATCTTTGTTAAGAATCGTCTCTAGAACTAAACGCTCTAATGCTTGAAATAGATAGTTCTTTGCCTTCAAATCTTTTAATTTCTGATCATCAATGTTCTTTCTTTGTGCATCTGTAAGAATTACTCCTTCCGCTGCCGCAGGAACCCCATTTTCCACCAGACCCAATACTCCTTAAAACGCAAAAAGTTTTCCATGAGCATCGCCCAATGGTCATAATGCCCATCAAACTTCGGTATTGTTGGCTGCACAAATGAACTTTCTGATGCCATAGTTTTTCACACTTAGAAGACTGCAGCTTCTACTTTAATCAGGCCCCGTGGTGGGGCGTTAGGAACTAAAATTCGTATGTGAAAGTATAAGGAAATTGATAGAAGGAATATTTCGTATATTGAAAGAATCAACTTGGCTCATATATAGCCTTACAGATGAGAAACTGAAACTAAAAAAAAACTACCCATGTTTCCACTACTAGCCTAAACTATCCATGTTTTCATCCACTACTAGCACTTCCTAATAACATAGTAGACTAATTCAAAAGGAAATAACTACTCCTAAAAACAGGGAAATCATAAAACTGACTAACATTTCCTCCCTCTCTTTATGTTCCCTCACCTATTCTAACAATCTGCCACATCATACAACTCCTCTCTAACTTCCCTATTCGGTTTAGTTGTTGGGCTAGGCCCAAATCCAAAGTCCTATCACAGTTAGTCATGTTCAGAAAACTTCGAACTACAAATGTCAAAAAAAATTTTCAAACTATCGTCATGGAAAGGAAAAAGAGAGGAATTTTGGACTAGGTAAATAGAAGACAACAACAATCAATAAAAAAAGCTAAGATGAATTCGGCTAGTTTAAAATTGTTTTTAATTTCATAGTTTAACATGATTATTGTACTGAGAATAGTTTTGCTCTGACGGTGAAGCAAACTGATTCCCTCGTGTTCGTTGTTCGTAACATGGGTTTGGTTGGTAGCATGCACCCAACTATTCAACCACTGAAGAAAGCTGCTTAGATCTTTTGTCCAAAATCAAGAATTTGAGAATAAATAATGATTATGTGGGTGTTCTGATTCATGAACATAAAAATTCAAAATCTAGAGTAGGCTGTCTGGTAGACAATTATCAATCAATTAAGGAGCAAATTACTAATTAAACTTCACTTTTGAAGACATGTGACTCGTCAAATATCAATTGGGGGCCAAAATACCAATCAAGGACTGAATGAAATCTATTAAGGAAGAAACATTGAGCATCACTTTTTCTTATATTTAACTACACTGAGAACCATTGGTGTCAGGAATTCAGAACGCTTTAAGTTCTGACATCAATTTTGAACTATAAACATGAAGAAATGCTTCTCTGAAGTTAAACTTCGTTTTAAAGGTTAAAATGAGAGATCTAAACCATTGCTGATAAATTAAATTGCTGATATACTGTCATTTTTTTATGATAAAATAGAACTTGTTTGCTCTCTTATGATCTCTATTAAGTCACCATCTATATTATAACATGAGATTTCTTATTCTTTACTACTTTGTGGCATTGAACTTGAGAAACTGACAGAAGCTGTTTTTAAATTTATCAGATTACTTCCATGGTCAGGAACCTTTATTAATTGGTTCATGACTTAACCTTAATTTTGATTCCAAGTGGTCTCAGTTTCTGTACTTTTGTCAGTTAATGAGGCAATATTCCCTATTAGTTTTTCACGATTATTGCCAACTTCAATTCTTAGAAAATCTCGATTTCATGTGTTTCTAGTTACCTGTACGAGTTTTTACTGAAAATCTGCGTTTGCAAAGGGAAAAGAATAGTGTCTCCAATACTACTAAATAGTAGCACTTCCCTTTCACCCTCTCCCTTTCTAAAAATGCTCAGTGACACCATAGTTAGGAACATTTTTAGAGTTCGAGGAGATGCTCAGTGACCGTGTAAAATAGTTTCACACGACATCTAACTAGAAACTCACACAATCGTGAGTACCAGGTTTCGAACCCTAGTGATAACGTCCAACCTAGCAATATCAATTTTTGTCAGTTGAGCTAGGATTTGCGGAACCATTTTTCTCACATT